CAAGTCTACTGTTGCTACTGCCAATATACTTAATCCGGGCTCACTACTTGTAGGAAAGTAATCCCTACTCATCCTACATCAGTTTGGTATCAGAGCTTCAAGATCCTACCTTATTCTTTTCCAATCTTTTGATGAAATTGCTTTCTTTATTACAATGTTGACAAGCATTGAATTAAGTTGGAAGTTTGAAACCTTATCAACAAATTATAGAGCTACTAACAAAGATGTTGCGATGTTAAAGGAAGATTTTGCGATAATCAAGGAGGATGTTGCAACAATAAAGAGTGATGTGCATACTATCAAGACAACTTTGAATGGATTGAAAGCTTCCATGAAAGGATTGTTGGCTGCTGATTTAGAGAATACTAATATCTAGGAGCAAAAGGTTGATAGTGTTGAAGATTTTGAAGAAACTATGAAAGAGCAAGATGAACATGCTGCTAATATTAAGGATATTGAAAAAAGGAAGGCGAAAATTAATTTGCTTAGTAAAGAAAGCATGAAAGATCATCATGATCAATGTTCTGAAACCAAGGAAGCCAAAGAGAATGGGGAGAATGGAACCGAACTTTCTGCTCTTCACAAGAAAAATGAAGTTCACATTAAGTTTATTATTCCTGACAAATTCGATGTGGTCAATGGAGTGATGAAAACATTGAACTTTTGATTTTTTCATCGTTCGTTCAACATAATCAAGTAGAATGGTTGCAAGTGCAAGATTCCATAATCCTTATACTTCAACATTATAAAACTTGAGGTCGAGATTTTCGAATGCAGGGGAGAATGATGAAGTGTGGAAAGAAGAAAAAGAACAAATATGAAATTTCACATATAAGCACATTTAGGGCATCAAGAATTAAAGATTTGGAATTATTTTGAGTCTTCATGTCGTTATAGTAGGTTTTAGTAGTTAAGGATATTATGGTAATTTCAATTTTGCTGAAAATGGGCTGTAAGGTTGCCCATGGGTTTTATTTTGAGTTAAGTTATCAAATGGATTATTATATATAGGTTTTATTATGTCTAAAATAATCTTAGTGGTCAAAAATCTAAGTTTCCTATTTTGATATTGAAGTAGAATTAGAAGTCATTAAAGTTTCCTATTATGATTGGAGTAGAATTGAAAGTCATAGTTAGTCTAGAATATTAGTAATTGCTAAATATTTTTAGTTTCTAAATTTGAGTAGTAGTCCTTATAGAACTAGGTGAGTTTTTCGCCTATAAATATGTGTAATCTCAATGATTCAACAAAAGAGTTAATATTATGAAAATTTGAGATTGTGTTTATGTGATTGGCCCATCCCTTGTGAGGGTGAAGCAATTCTCTCTCTCTCTCTCTCTTTCTCTTTCTTCTTCTTCTTCTTCTTCTTCTTCTTCTTCTTCTTCTTCTTCTTCTTCTTCTTCTTCTTCTATACAGCAAAGTTACTGTTCACAGTGTTTAGAATAGCCACCCAACTACCTAACTGCCCCTAAACACTTGTGCCTTTTCACAAACCCTTAAACTCCTATTTTTTAAATACTTCTGCAGTCATAAAATCCCACCAAATCCAGCCCTACAAGTCTACCGTTGCTGCTGCTAGTATACTTAACTTGGGCTCACTACTTGTAGGAAAGTAATCCCTACTCGTCCTACATCAGAGGGAGCTATCAGAATTGAGGACTTCAGACCCATCAGCCCGGTTACATCACTTTATAAGATTTTGAGGAAGGTTCTATCAAAAAGGTTGAGGTCTTCACTGGAGGCTTCGGTTTCCCCCATCACGAGGGGCTTTTGTGAAAGGTAAACAGATTTTAGATGTGGTGTTGGTGGAAAATAAGGTGGTAGAGGATTATAGGAGTTTAGGAAACGAGGGGCTTGTCTTTAAGGTTGATTTTGAGAAAGCTTATAATCATGTGGATTGGGAGTTTCTAGATTTTGTAATGGAAAAGACAGGTTATGGTGAGAGATGGAGATCATGGATTATGGGGTGTTTGGAGACTTGTAATATTTCGGTAATAGTTAATGGTAAGCCGGGGGAGAGCTTTAAGGCTTCGCAAAGACTAAAGCAAAGGGATCCTTTATCTCATTTTCTTTTTATTTTGGTGGCAAATGTGCTAGGTAGGATGGTGGACAGGGCTAGAGAGGTAGGTTTGTTTGAAGGCTTTATTGTGGGCAGAGATGGGGTTAGTGTGACACATTTGCAATTCACAGATGATACTATTTTCTTTTCTTCGGGGGATGAAAGACAAATGTGAAATCTTCTTTTGGTGTTGAAACTTTTTGGGGTGATTTCAGGCCTCAAGGTTAATCTGGAAAAAAGGAGCGTGGTTGGTATTAATGTAGAGAGTCATCATCTCCAGTGAGTGGCTGAGCTTCTAGGGTGCAGTGTTGAGGCACTTCCCATTAGATACTTGGGACTTCCATTGGGAGATAACCCTAGAAATGAGTCATTCTAGACCCCAGTTGTGGAGAAGATTGGAAAAAGGTTGGACGGATGGAGTAGGGCTTTACTTCCTCGAGGCGGTTGGTACGCTTTGGTTAAGCCAGTTCTAAGCGGAATTCCAGTTTACTTTATGTCTCTGTTTTGGATTCCAATCAAGGTGGCAAGATCTTTAAAAAAATTGATGCGGGATTTTCTTTGGGAAGGGAAGGATGGGGGCAAAAAGGATCACTTGGTGAATTGAGGGACAGTTTCCTTTCCCAAGGAGAAAGGGGCCTTGGCCATTGGTAATCTTGTGGCTAGGAACACAGCTCTACTTGGCTAGTGATTATGAGGATTCCCAAATGAGTGTGATTCATTATGGCATAAGGTTATTAGAAGCAAGTATGGGGTTCATGCTAACGGTCGAGACTCACAAGTGGTCATCACTAGGGGTAATGGTCGAGCTCCTTGGAAATCAATCTCTCGTATTTATCCAATTTGGCTCCGTTTTATTTCTGTGAGAGTAGGTAATGGGGAACTTGCCAAATTTTACAAGGATGGTTGGTGGGTACTTCTTCTTTTACTGTGTCTTTTCCTTACCTGTATAGAATATCTCAGTTTCATAATTGCTCTATTGCTTCCCTGGCATGTTCGTCTTTGGCTCCAATTTCTTGAAACTTTAATTTTCCTAGAAATCCTAGTGATAGGGAAGTTGGGGAATTTATGATCCTATTGTCAAGGCTTGAGCATGTTTCTTTGGTTCCATCTTTGGAGGACAAGTGGGTCTGGGCTATTTATTATTCGGGCTCCTTTTCTTGTAAATCTTTTCTTGACAAACTCATTGATACGCCTAACATACCTTTGTTTCCTTTCACAAGAAGATTTAGAGGGCTTGTGTTCCTCTTAAGGCAAAGATGTTCATGTGGCTTTTGGTTCATGGAGGCACTTTAACCAATGATACATTGCAAAAAATGGGGCATTCGCGTTCTCTAAATCCTCAATGGTGCATCATGTGTAGGAGGAATGGAGAACCTTTGGACCATTTATTTCTGCATTGTTCAATGGCAGCAAATTTGTGGCAAAAGTTGTTTTGTTTTGGGAATGTTACGTGGGTGGCTCCATAAAATAGTGCTCAAATGATCTTAATTGATTTTCAAGTGTTGGGCAAGTCGAAGAGGGCCAAGGTGCTTTGGCTTTGTGCTATCTTTGCAATTTTTTGAGTCATTTGGTTGGAAAGAAATGTGCATCTCTGAAGATGAATCTTGGGATATTGACTTTTTGTGGAAAAAAGTCTGACATTTGGTTTCGTTTTGGGTGACGGGGAGCCCTTTGTTTCAAGGAGTTCCTCTTTTTTTGATTGCAGCAGAATGGGTGTCAATTTGCGATATGTAGTGCTGGCTTTGTTTTAGCCGACTTTTTTCGTTTTGTTTTTTTCATTGCTTTTTTTTTCACTTGTTCCCCTTTTCTGAGGATGACTCATCCTCCTATCTTTGGCTTTGTGCCTTAATAAAATTCTTGTTTGTTGATGATCAAAAAAATAATAATATACCCATATCCTCTTCTTTTTTTTTCCCTTTTTTTTTCTTCCCAGTATCAGCTTAAGCATAATGTACTCGTACCTGTACCCATGCTTCCTAGAGGACATTGCATTAAAAAGTATGCTAAAATTTGAAGCGCAAAACTTCATATGAGATCTCACCTATTCGAAGAGCACCAAAAAATAGTCAATTGTTTTTTTTTTTTGGATCAACAACAAAAGCTTTATTGATAAAACAAAAAAGAAAAGAGGATAAGGCATCCTCTTACAATAGGACAATGAGAATACAAACACAAAAATAACCCGAAACAAGCTAAACACGGACAAAAGACTACATAGCACACACTGCCACCCAGTCTCTAACTAAAAAAAAAAGTGGAACTCCCTTAAATAATGAGTTCCCTGACGCCCAAAAAGAAGATAAGTGACAAACATGATCCCACAAACAGCCCACTTCCCGAAACTTCTCTTCAAACAACCTCTGATTTCGCTCCATCTATAAAACCCAAAAAATTGCGAAGACGGCACAAGACCATAGAATTTTGGCTCTCTTCGATCTCCAAAAGTACGAAAATCAACTAGAAGCATATGCGCACTCCCTTTTGGGGCAACCCACATAACATTTCTCAAAAAGTCAACCTTCCAAAAAGTCAAGATTTCATTCAATTATATCCCTGGGAAGAGAATTGGGGACACAGCAGTATTTGCAGAAACAAAAAACACTAATTGAAACATAACGTAAAAAAATATGATTACAATGATATAATATAGCTAACATCCTTATGCCCCACATTCTAAATGAGCCAAAAGAAAACAGATTCTGTGCTTGCAGAAAAAATATGTGGTCTTATATGATCGTTAGCATATGCAAGCACAGAATCTTAGTTTTGTCCAGGTTAGTCCTAAAAGCTACTTTCACTGCATGGGCTTGGCATTATAAATTTAGAATACAAATAACAGTTTCTCCACATGATTCGAAGTATCATGAGACATGAAATTTAAAATAAAGCATTTTAAAAGAAGCATTTTATTATGCAATTTTCAACAAGATGTAAACTAACCTGTGATAATTTCTCTGTCACTTGTGATAGCAACCACTGCTGAGCTTCTAATTCCAGAAGCTGCAAATGCAAGTGCTTGGGGAAAATGCCACTCCTCCGAGCCAGATCCGGTTGGTGGTCCTTTAAACATGCGCATGAACGCTCCACCAGCAGAGCCTGCACTGGCCTTTCCGTGTTGGAAAAGAAATGGCAACCCATGGCCATCTGGTGTGTTTGGCTGCCACTTGTGCTGCGCAACATGTGCTGCTGGAGCATTCATATCAACAATTATGACAGAATCTTGTGATGCATGAATAGCAGCAGCAGGTAGATTGCAGCGTTCTGAAGATGGAACAACATAGGGTTGGACTTCTTTCGGGTTCCGAAAGATGGTCTGAAGTGAAAAATCAATACGTTAGTTATCTCTGACGTTATCCCAACATTAAGAAGCTGAGAGGAGAAAAGGGTCTCAATTTTTGTGAGGTGTCTTGTATTTTTTACTGTACACTCAGAGTAACTGTAAGAGGCATTTTACAGAGGGCGAGAGGCCAAGGTTGTTAGTACATTTTCTGGGTAGCATTTTCTACATGATGTGTTGTGGTTTTGTTGGACCGCTTAGTTGAGAGGTTCTGGGCTTGTAATCCTTGTGAGGTAAGGGGACTTCTACCAGATACACACAATTGGATTCTGCTGATCAGTAGTAAGCTATCCAATCCCAGTGAAATAATATTTGATAGCTTAATAAAGATAATAGTCATGCAACTACGGGTTAATATTTCATATTCTTGACGTTCATAAAGCCAGTTCATACAATTTTCTTATGATGGTGCTACTTCATAAAAATTAGCAGTTACATTTTTCCACCAGATACACAATTTTCTCATCATGGTGCTACATCATAAAGCCAGTTTTTGAGCTGTGCCAATTCCTAAGAACGCCTTGGGTGTGGAGGAAATTTCTGAAACAAAAAATTGGCAATGCTGCTACAAACTTTACAGTATGGTATGACAACTGGCCACCACAGATCCAATAATCAGAATGAAGGGAGACAGAATCATCTATGAGACTGCTCTGGGAAAAAATGCTTGAGTTTGCAGTATTGTTCAAGGACAGTAGTTGACATGGCATACGACCCAGACTATAAAGCTTATAGAATTGAGAAGGGAAACCCCCCTGAGTTTCAAACCAGATGACTGGAAGCTTGGTAAGGTTTTTCGGACTTTAGGGAGGTCTGGAAATTATTTAGTCGTGGCCACATGATAGGAATTGAGAATCAAGAGGCCTAAAGTAGATTGGTATTCTCTGTTGTGGTGTCCAAAATATATACGGAGGTTTCAATTCATAGTGCGGATGGCAATGAGAGACTAGCTTAGAACAGAGGACCTGTGACAAAGTGTTCAAGTGCAGTCTATGTCAGACTGAGTTGGAATCTAATGATCATTTGTTCTTTAATTGAAACTATTCCTAAAGAAGCTTAGCATGAACTTGAAGGATCTATTTCGTTATCTAATACGGAAATTTACTGCGATCACTGCTAAGAAAATTGCATTTACTGCTAGAATGTATGCCATTTAGAAAGAGAGGAATAATTGAACTTTCGAACAGGAAGTCAGAATTGACAAGGTGGTGCTGGATGAAATTATCCTCAATGTCAAATGCTGTTTATCCGCTAACAGACCAGGTTAATTCACTGCTTTAGAGTTTGTGTTCAAGGTCATAATGCTGCTTAGGAAACTGTTGCTACTATGGGCAGCTTGGCTTGTTTAGTCTCTAAGCTTGGATGGCGATAATATTGCCGCAGCTGTTGAGTATGTTTATGTTGTCTACACCTGATGTTGCTGCTAGTAGCTTCTCCAATATGAGGTGATGCTTGAGGTATGATTGCTGATACTGTAATGGATTGGTGGTCTACTATTATGATGTTGGCTTTGTTTCATTACATTGTTTCAGTTATTTCTGTTGATGCTTATGCCATTATCTGTAACAATTTTTATTGTTGATGTTTGCTTATATTGGGCATGTGAGGGTAGTTTTTATTTTAGACATTAGTAATCTTGATTTTTCTTGTTATCAATAGGGTTTTGTTTTGTCTTGATGAAGGTTTAGATGTTCAGGATGATGTCCTGTTAGCTAGGGTATGCCCTTTGTAGTTTGAACATTATTTCCTATCTTTGTGAATATAATCTGATTTAAAAACAACAATCTTCATTATTGTAAAAAATATCAACTCCCTTAATTAACAAATATAAGGTGTCATTTCAATTCATCACCACTATTTTAGGGTCATCATTTCCATTAATAGCGCTACTTGCATGGGTCAAGTTACTCAGAAGGTGGGATAGAAATGCATAAAGAAAACAAGAGAGCCTTCTCAGCTATTGTGTGGTCCAACAAATCTATTAGGTTCTTTGCATTTCTTACATTAAGCTCCAACAAGTGTCAAGAGGAGAAAGGGCCCCTCTCATTTACTGAGGTTTGAATGAATTGATAAAATTTTTTACTGTTTCCAACTTTTTAAAGCTTCAACAAGAGCTCTGACAAGGTTCGTAGAGAACCAAAAGAGGTCCAGGGAGTGAACCATGCTTCTTCCACTCCCTCATCTATCTTCCATTATTTTGTCAAACAGAAGTAACATGATGTGGTAAGATTTGGGAGTTGGAGTTGTGATTTAGCTTGGGAGAGCTATACATGAGCTGTTAGTCTCTCTCTCTCTCTCTCTCTCTCACTCAAAATAAACTTCTTGATTTAGTTGCATCAAAACAACTCCCTTATTGTTGCATGTTGCAAATGCCCCTCTAGACAAATGGCCATGCTATGTTTTTCATAGACCCCAACTCGTAGCTTACAAGTTTATGTGATGTGAACTTGTAATTATCAATGATAAATTACAAACTGCAGTCAGCTTGAAAATTACAATAAAATATTGGCATGGTTCACACCAAATTCTGTATAGGGTAGATAACGCACAGTGAAAAACATGATGAGAGGTCCAAGTGTACACATGAACAAACACATGCAATAATGCAAGAACAGCCATAAGACAACTCAAAGTACAAAGATCCAGTCACAAACAATAAATCAAGGTTTACCTGCAAGTGAAGAACATCTGCTAGTGGCATCCTCTTCAAGTGAGGGACAGTAAGAAGTTGGGATGGGGTTTGTCCAAAGTAAGCAATTTGATCTTGTGTAGCACGTTGTTGTACCTGTCGGTGAAATTTAGGGAAAGTAAGTAGCAGTAATACAACTCAAAGGACAACACTTAATGAAAGAGTGTAAGACTTAACTGGGTCTGAAATCTTTTATCAATATCCACCGTCCCTTCGTAGGTAATGTAAAAGAACATATTATTTGCTGCTATAGCTTCTTTTCCTCGCTGTTTATACCTGAAAGGTTTAAATCATTCAGATGTAGAACACTTTTGTAAGAGAAAACAATGCAAAATTGATGGACAAAAGACAGTTATTTGTACATCTACTCTAAGCCATACTAAAAAATTTGGAAATTAACACAATGAGAAAACCAAGCTGAAGAAAAAATCAAGTTTCGTTCAAAAGTATTATAGAATTTACCCAAATACAAGATCAATCCATTCATGCAAATGTGCAGAAACATGTTCACTTTCAAGAGCCTTCCGATGCTTGTGAACAAAATCAACAGGGTTTTCAGCCCAAGGAGGCAGAATGACAGAATCTGGAATTGGGGGGGGGTGCGGGGGCGGGGAAGAAGAAGGAAAAATTTATGTTACATTTATAGTCTAAAAGAGAACATAGATCCAATTTTTCTATCGAAACAAATAAATGCATACCAAGCTTTTCCCCAAGTTGTGTTGTACCAAAGTCAATTGAGTTTTCATTGGTCAACATCTCCGAGAGGTAAAACAGCTCGGGAACCTAAGATTTACAGGAAAAAATAATAATAATAAGTTAAAAAAATAATAATTGGTCCCAATGAATACCTATACATGCATAATTGTGAATATACATATCTTGTAAACCATTTTTGGTAATAGATGGACTAATGCAGATGAGGAAAGACAAAAGTCACACAAAATCAAATGAAGACATTAAGATGCAAATATCATGGCATTCGAACTAGAAAAAGGTGTACTTTTTCTTAATTTTCAGATAAGTTCATACCAATTCCTTCACATCACTCATGTCTTCGATAACTCCATTCCAAGTAGCACCAATATCCAGAAACATTCTGTCTGCGTGATCAAATTTGCCACCTTGTAGTTGAATTGAAAGGGTAGTAAATGGCTCTACTCTGACAAGATAATATAGCACCTGCCAAACAGAAAAGCAATCATATAGTTTCAATAATATAGGATTTGAGAATCGTAATTGCATGGTAATAAAGATAACCACCTAAATGATCGTAAACACAATTGGTATGAGATACACCAGGATTTTAGAAACAAAAATGGAAGACAGACAGGCAAAGACTCAATAAATATGCCAAAGAACTTTAAACAATTGAAAAAAAATAATTGTAGAAACTTACCGTTCCGGCACTGGAATAATGTGAACCATAATGGAACTTGGGAATTACTGGATCGTCAAAGCTGGAGTATCTCTCTTGGAACTTTTTCAACCGATCAGCATTTAATGCACCAATGGGCTGAAATAGTGTGCAAGTTATTTGTTAGCTGAAAAACGGCAGTCCACATTAAATTGAGAAGCAAAGTCAAAATGTCGATACCTTTGAAAGATCTCGGTAAGATGAAGGATTTTCAAGATCCAAACTTCTAGAACAGTAATCAGAAAGGATCCATGGGAAAACAGGATACTGCATGAAAGGAAGAAACTTAGTAAAGCAAGAGCAGAATTATCCTCATGAGTAACTTGAAAATGAGCAATCACCATGAAAAATTCACCTGAGTTATGTCATTATAACTACGCCCAGCTAATGTGTTGAGCTGCATTAGATACTCAAAATTGCTGATCTGTAAAGATTTCAGTGGTTAGCAATTTTCTTCATATGCTTAATAAAAGAAAAATGATATTAAAACTACAGTAACATTGGTCAGGCAAAAGATGCATCCAAGTTCACTCTCGATTCATACCTCCCACCTAGCCCAACGCTCCATTAGTTGCGTTCTCTTCAAAAGTTGATCCGGTCTCTACAACAAAATATGATATCGTAGTTTCTAGGATAAGAAATAAATGAGGTGCTGTAATATTGCTTTCAAGACTCAAGATTCATGTATAGTATGTCTAGAAAAATAAGCCATAAAACCTGTGTTGCAAGGTAAATGTTGTTCAAATGAGGGGGGCGTGCATGAACAATAGCTCGGTATGCATTTCTTCTCCCCTCAGTACTCTGGAGAAAAAAGATTAGAAACCAACAGATTAGTTAATTGCCAAGAATTAAACATGATTTACACAAGAAATGGAAAAGTGTATTTCAAAAAGTAATACCCCAAAATCAAAAAAGTAGTTTGACCGGTCAACCATAAACAATTCCAGGGAACTTCTTCTCAGGAGATATCTGTGAAAATAATAAACCCGTGAGCAGAGTTTGAAAAAAGAAAAAAATAAACAAATAAACAGGCCAACCAAGAAACAGGGACAAAATCACACGACGTCACAATCCCAAAAAGAAGAAAAAAAATGGAAAGACGGAAAAGAAAAACCCCCAAAAAAGGTGAAAGAAAAAAAGATAACAAGAAGGTCATTCCTTCAAGGTACTAAACACCTTTGAACTGCAGATTATTATTATTAGTATTAAATGATAATCAACCAACTTTACCATGATTGTCTATTGTTCACTACTTGGAACAAACTCCACAATGTATTATTAATTTCTCAGTTCAATCAGTATATATTAAAGAACCTGTAGCAGTAATCCAGAGATTATTTGCTAGGTGACTACAATTGAGCTCCATCAGTGCTCCATTCATATTCATTCTGACGTTACTTTTTTCTAAACACAAACATGTAGTGCATCCCATGGACACTTCTAGTGAGGAGCTGTGTTGAAACGTGTGAGCCACCTACACTTGGACAATCTAAAAATGTCCAACACTTCTTGGACATTTCTTAATTCAAAAATGAAATTCAAAATTTGGACACTCCTTAACACACCAATGTGGCGAATCTGTGTCTAGAATTCTTCAGAATGCACCCATGCCCCAAAAGTGTCTTCACGATTAACAAAAGGAAAAAGAATTACGTACTATATTTCACTTTGATGTGGATACGTAAAAATAGATTTATTCTCTTTATAATATTGACCCTTACAATAAGAAAGATAAAGAAGATGTAGTAAGAAAGCAGGCAAGCAATAGTAGTGTGTAGAATTTGTGGAGCTTCATCTTTCACATTTTGCAAATTATAAATACATATATTTAGATAAATAATTCAGTTACTTCTTTTAATATATGTACATACAATATGTAAATATGTTGCAAGATGTTGTGTACATGCCATGTACACATCCTACTTCTTTAGGATTTGTAATGTCCGTGTGTATTGTGTCATGTTGTATTCTTGCATCCATGCCAATGTTACATAGATGAATGGGTTGACAACAGCTGCCTTTAGGATTGGAGGGGTATCGGAGAGATTTTGTGTTGCACCTAATTTCCAATTTGTCTATAATACCTCTACAGATTTCTACACATTGTTGAAGAAGGCACTATTTCATGGGACACGAAGTGCCCAATCTACCATTACCATACATCTCTATCTCTAAACTTCCAGTGCTTGTCAAGTTATGTGATGTATTACTACATGATCAGTTGTAAATCATGTAATTGAGAGCATAAATCCTAAAGAAAGTGGAGGGATAGGACTGACTTCATGGCTGGATCCTATGGAAAGGGGACTATTCTTTTTCCACATTAATGAGACTATGGAAGACTTGCATCGGTTGGAATGTTTTTCCTAGATCATACATTATATAGAGGAAGTGGATTTCTTGGCAAGGGAGGCATTGTATAAAATTTTGTGACTAGATCAGAAGTTTGAGAAAACTAAAAAATATAGCAGAAAGTTCATTTCCTTCATTAAAATTTTTTATAAAAAAATAATTAAATAAATAAAACACAATTTTTACTCCTTTCTCCAATTACAAACAAAACCAGAGACAAAACAAATAACTCAGATATATGAACAAATACATTGCAGAAGAACCCCATTTTCAATATCATTTTTTTTTCTGGTTATTAATCAAAAACTAATGGAATAATACAATATATTACCTAAAAGTTAAAAACAAGATGTTACACCTACATCCTCAATCTTTTGCCCAAGTCAAACATGCTAAATTCTCAAACAAAAGTTCAAAGAATGGGGTGCTCAATATACATGAATGCTGAAGTGGGACAATAAAAGTAGAATAAAAAATGAATATATAAACAAGGGTAAAATTACATCTCCTCTCTTGAGGTTTAAAAACAATTACAATTAGCCTCAGACTTTTGACATAATTACACTGATTTCCCTTGAAATTTTAATCTATATAACAGTTAGGTCCTTTTTCATTAATAATTCATTAGCTGTATGAATGAAAAATGATGTTGTCATCTCTTATTATCTACTAAAATGTATATTCATCCTTATTTATTTCAATGTTTACCATTTGCATTAGTTTCAGTTGATTTAGCCTTATTAAAAGAGAGGTCAATTTAATTATGTTAAAAGTGTGGGGCTAACTGTATTTTTCTCAAACTTCAGCGGAGGTGAGTGTAATTTACCCTATAAACCAAAAAAAAAAAAAAAAAATTCAACTCACCTTCTGCTGTAAATTTGGTGAAGGGAAGACATCAACCAGCTGTGATCCTTTTCTTGAACTCTGCTCTCAGAACTATGATCCAATCCATCCCCAGAACTGCTCTCAGTGTTATCAACAATAAAATTAATTCTTCTTGTTGTTATCTGCCAAAGAACAACATTTCCTTTGTTTAGTGGAACTTATTATGACCATGTATCAAAATATAAATCAAAATCAAAAACAAAAATTCCCACTACTGAATAAATAATTAGTATCAACAGTTAAATATTCACAACTCAATTTGAAATCTTTATTTTCCATGCTCATCGCTTTGAATCTTTTCATTTTACACATCTATTTCACAGATATCAGATATGTAAAGGCTGAGAATTAAAAATAAAATAAAATGAAAATGAAAATGAAAATAAAAACAAAAAAGCAAAAAGGATCAAGAACAGGATGTAGAGATTAATGCATGAATAAGGAAACTTACTTGAAATGTTCCTCGTAAAACCCTTAATGGCCGGACCATCGACGATGGAAGCTCAAGAACAATTGTTTCATCAAGTTCGCTAGGAACATAACCAGGGGCAACAGCAGATGGATTTTCCACCAAGTCATGTCTGCTAGGAGCTGGAGGATCTTGAGATTCCACTGATGGCCGCAGGGGTTGCTCAGCCATCCCAGACATCCTTGTCTCAATGTCCCCATGTTTTTCGACTTCATTTTCCCTACCCTCTAAATTATCAATGCCTTCCTGCTCCTCATCCTCATTTACTATGTCCTCCATCGAGATAGCTTCAGCTGCCAAAATAGAGGCTTTAGACGGACTAATGACAATCTCTTTATCCTGCTTCAAGTCCATACGATCTTCATAATTTGCTGCAGCACCCAAATGGTCATACCCTCCGTAGTTCCTCCTCAAACATCGCCTCATCCTTGAAGAACTTTCCATAAGGTCTAGCTTCCAGAAAACCTAAACATCCATAATTTTATTGTAATAAAAATTAAATATAGAGTAAGATCATTGAATCAGAGATATGCCAGTGTTGTGAGGCAATTAACATACACGCTCAGGATTGCATAAATGGTCTCTGAATGGCCCAAAAAGACAATTCATCTCTATCAAGCAATGGATGAGTTTGCGCCATGCACGTATTCCAGTACATAGACGATGTCGGGTTATTAAATCAACTTGTGCCCGCCTGTCAACCTGAAAAAATGCACAAAATTAGGACCATTTATATATGTTAGTTCACTAAGTACCAGAAGCACAAATTATACCTCTGATCGTTGCATGTTTCTAGCTAATGCTAAACTTCCAACAAGGACAGCAATAAATTTATATGATAAAGCATTAAAATCTTTCCCATAAACTGATTTTGAATCAACTGATTGCAAGCATTCCATCCAAGCAGTTCCCATGGCTTCAAAAAAGTTCCATCTCTTTACACGCTCCATATCACTTTTGCTCCTCCTCTGTGCAGATGTGGCCATTGCCACAGCACTGAGACCTCTTCCAGAACCAATCTTTGCATTACGTTCAAGATCACGTGCAGCAGCCAAAGCAGCTGCTTTAGCAGCAGCCTTGTCCTTTGGAATGGCTGGCGATTTGTTAGGTACCTCCAAAGGTTTTTGAAAGCTTGAAAATGTTTGAAGCCGAGTTGTTTTTCGCTCAAGCAATGACGAGTCACGCCGAAGATGAGTAGCTGTTGCAGGTGTTGGGGTTTCTCCACCAGCAGCTCCAGCAGCAATCATTGCCAATGCCATTGCAGCAGGTGGAGATGCAAAAGCAGCAGCCCAGTTAGGAGAGATCATGGCAAGAGCAGCCTGAACAATATCAAATGGGCATTTCACATATTCCAGCAAACAAAATTATAAGCATCACTATGAGCAGATAAGATAGCAAAAGAGACAAAGTGTGCTCTATTTGCAGCATTAATAATGAAAAAATGCATAGAGGTTGATAAATTCATTTTAAAAAATTCAAAGTGAGAGAGAGAGAGAGAGAGCCCAAAAAAATGTCAAAACATAATGAGTAACAATTCATAACTGCTCAGAACAACATTGAAGTTTCCATATGGATCAATGTCTACGACCTAGAAAGGTCATGTCTCAGATAAATTTTTGGTTTGTGTAAGTTAACTTTTTCAGATTATTCAGTTATATGCTTTTCTCCATAAATCCTTGTCCCAACTATTCCAAATTCACTGCAATCAATTTTCCTTTTCAAAATAAACCGTTTTGTTTATTTTATATTCAAGATCAACAATCCATAATGCTAAAAATTCGCATACCCTTTCACCATTCAATTTAAGACTCCCAACCCTTAAATTGCAATCAAGCACTCCCAACAATGATTAATTGCAAATTCGAACCCCTTTCTACCTAAAGATCCAATGACTTTTTTTTCTGCCCTTCTAAATACCATGATCAGAGGCAGAGGATTACAACTGTTTGTTCAAATTTTAAACTGCAGGAGGCATGAGTAAAAACAGTCACTAGTACGTCAGGTGTAAAAGCAAGATGCAGGTGTTACAAAGGGAAACATCAGGAGTAAGCAAGGTGCTTCAAAGGAAACCTTTTGCTTCTAGAATAGAAGCTTTAGAAGCTACAGTTCAATTCCTAGAGGCTTCTATTGATGCTGCCCTTTGTCAACAGCCAGGACTGCATATTGACAAGCCAACATGCAAGAAGAACTTTTTTAACATCTGAAATTCAGGAGCAACAGTTGTCTACCATATCCATATCTACAAGTCTACTCTGTTGAAACTAATGATACAGACTCTTCAGATCATGTAAAGCAAACACAAGCTTATCTCTGCTCTGTTAAAGAAAGCACAAGGGACACAACACCAAATCCAAGAAAATTAATGTGAAGAAAGATAACATGGTAAATTTTACGTTCCAAACAAACTAAGAATGCTTCTGGCATAAAGGAAGTCAATGATTTGTAATTGAAAATAATGTAGAACCATGTCATAGAAAATGTAGACACTTGATTTCCTCATTGTTGCTTCTGTAAGGGAAAGTCAAGTCAAATGAATTCCAAAATTTAAAGCATCAAATGATGACCTTCAATTAACATAACTCAATGTCGAATTTTTTTTCACTGTGGAAGGGGAAGGAACAACAATAAAGAGGTGTACTGTAAATTTCACACATAGCAAGCATGAGACATCATTTGGTTGTCCTAGTTTGGTTTGACACTAGTTTTACATTTTTTAAAGGTCAGCAGCAGCTGCCAGTGCATTTTTATTCATGTTATTATTAAGTTTTGTGAGTGAAGACCATTTTGGCAATTTAAATTTATAGGCCAGAGGGCTGTAGTAGTTGGTCCGGTCTGATTTTAGGTGAACTTAGGTCATTTAAAACCTTTATATTTGATCTTTATAACATCTATAATGTTTTAGACGTCAAATTGTAAAAATTTTCAATTTTATAATCCAAGAACAAATAAACAATATTCCAATTGCAGACTTGTATCTCGGTCTGCACTACTTCCCTACCACATTTTTTAATTTCCTTGAGGATGCCCCTGCTTATTTAGTTTTCTGGATTACCTTTTCTCCATAAAACTATTTACTTAAGAATAAAGAATAATCTCCTGCCAGCCTAATAAGGCATGATGCTCTGTGATGAATATACACATGCATATAGTGTAACATTCCATGCACCACTTGTTACAATTTCTCTTTGCACCATCTTATTCTGAATTACAAACAACAGCCAAAAAAAGTAAAATTCCATTCCATCAAAAAAAAATTAGAATAGCTATACAGAAGCCTAACTGATTAATATTAATTGAAAACTCATATGCCATGCTTTAGAAACGAAGGGAAGCTGAAGTTAACTAACCTCTACAGGCAGTGCATCTGCAGCCAGTGCACGATCATCAACAACAAGAGGATTCAAACCATCTGCAGTAGCAAGTTCATGAATTCCCGCCAATAGAGGGCGCCACCTCCTCAAAACAGCAACAAAGGGTGGTAAAATGGAATCTAGATACTGTTTACGAAGAGGACTTCTATCCCTGCCGACAGTATGCCACACCTGCATTGTGCATAAGATAATAACACAAATGGTAGGACCGACGGTGCATGAAGTAAAACAAATGCAACACTAGATGACAACAGTAACCAGTTAGTCAAAGAAGTAACTAAATCTTCAATCTATCAGAGCAAGCTAATCCCGAAAAAAAACTAACCTCAGAATAGAGAACACAAGATGCAACCAATACTCTCTGTCTCTTGGACTCAGAAATTGGCATGTTCAAAACAGGTGAAAGAACACTGTAAATCATTAAGTACAAATCAGTTTTCGCCTACATATTAGTGAAAGCATGATTACAGACATGACATCAACAAAATGATGCAGAAACCATTGGAGGTACAAAATCCTTGTAAAGCAACTTTAATGAGCCTATGTACTATACGATCACTACTATCCTGATATGGTACCCCAGAGGTGATGTTAACTTAAATCACATGAGATCATAGAAGAAAACTGTCCAGAATGAGGTCATTTAGTATAACAATTAATATCTAGAAGATATGCAAATTATATTAAAAAAATTAAATAAATGAAATGGGTAATAACATGGAACTAAAAGGGGAAACGGTACATAAAATTTTGTCCCACAAATTCAAAATTTTGGGGACAATTAGGGTTATCTTTTTTTATCATAAAAGATCTGGAAAATCTCTAAAGTGTAAAAAAAAAATAAAAATAAAAATAAAAAAAAAAAAGAAAAGAAAAGAAAAAAAAATGATGGAAGGACATAAGTAGGTAAGGTCCTATTACAGGTATGTATAGATCTCCAGCTAAGTATCTATATCAGAAAAAAGTAATGTGCAGACATTAAGCAGTTTAATTCCTTATGGGTAAGTGACAATGTGAGTAGTAGTGACAATGATGTCTAGATGATGACAAGAGCAAGTGAGATGCATTCACCATGTCACAAGGAAGTCCAAAAAAAGACCAACCTTTCCATAATTAAAGATTTGAAAGCACAGAAATGGAAAGAGTCTACTTCAATATAGACTCCATTTGTTCTAACAAAATTTGTTTTCCCAAATTAATTTTTTCCAAACAATTGTTTGAGTTTTATCAAAACAAATTCTGGAAAAAAGTACAGTTTGTCCAACAAGAAAACATGTAGCAAGCTCACTTCCAGCAAGTAGTTTCCAGATAAACAGCTGACCACAGACTTGAAACGATTCAAATAAAAAATAGAAAAAAACAAAAAGAAAAAAGGAAAACGCACACACACACACACAGAGCCAAATTAATTCGAAGTTAGCCAAGGAGAACTACAATCTCCACCGTAATGTCGACCTCTATATCTGATACCCTCTCCTTGAAAGATGCCATAGCAAACTTAACATAATTTGAATTTTATCTGAGCAAGATCTAGCCTCATATAGCTGGAAATTTGATGAGGTCAAAACCCTTTGAAACTATCATTTCTATAGTGATGTCATGATCATACACCTCGCATGGGTTATCGGTAGTAGTTCACAGAACAGAACAATTAGAGTCACCAAGGAGACACAAAGCTACTATTCAGACTCTCAAAGATTACAGATGTTGAAATTTCTTCCAATAGCTTATTTTCTTTTAATTATATTAACAAATAACAATTTCCATTCATATCTTAACAACAGCACAACAAAACATTTAACACATTATGCATTAATGGGGAGTGAAGGTCTGGCATCTGCTTGAAAGAGGAAGACACCAAAGGCCAAAAAGAAGAGATTGGAAAGGCTGATGTAATATCAAATATGTAATGTTTTTGTTTTTGTAGAGATTGGAAAGCCGTGTGTAATATGTAATGGCTATTTTTTTTTTTTTTTTTTGGCTTTCTGAATGATGAGGCTTAATTGCTCTAAATTATTATTAGTGAATTTATATTTACTTTTCCAACCATCATTTCCTGCTTAGTATTTACAGCCAGTCCTAAGCCCAGATAAGAAGGAAGGTAGTGTGTTAGGATGACACCTAATACATAAAAATTCCCATCAAATTATGAACATGAATCTGAATATGAATATGCGAGTAAAGACTAGGCATTCCCTGTAAGTAATGTGGTGTGCTTGCTTTCCAGGGTTTCAAAATGGGCAAGGGTCGCCGTGGTGAAAAAAGGCAAGGTCCTTCTTGCGCTTTCATGGACAAGCACAGGTAAAGAAGTTGCCCAAGCTGGTAAGTTTAGATTAGCGACTTAGAATATAGAAACACTAATAGACAAAACTAAGGAATTAGTGGATGGCATGATTAGAAGAGAAGTTAGTATAGCATGTTTACAAGAAACTAAGTGGGTAGATCAAAAATCAAAGGAAATAAAAATACTAGGTACAAAATTTACTATACTGGTAAAAACAAATGGTGTATGAATAATTATAATTAAACTTCTAAAAGTTGAGGTAGTAACAGTCACTAGAATAGAAGGAATACTACTAATTAAACTTGTAATTGAAGAAAGAACAATTAATGTCATTAGCGCGTATGTGTCCCTAATAGAATTGGAAGAATGTATTAAAAGATAATTTTTGTATCAACTGGATGATTAATGTAACAAATACCTATAAACGAGAAGATAATTATAAGTGGAGATTTCAATGGTCATGCAGAAAAAGTTAAGCAAGGGTATGAGAGGGTACATGGTAGATATGATTTTGGTGACAAGAATGATGCCAAAGAGGGCATATTAGATTTTGCAGTAGTATTTGATTATATAGTAATCAACACCTTCTTTTAAAAGAGAAAACACTTCAATAACTCCTAAAAGTGGGTCACATAAGAGTCAAATGGATTATTTTCTTGTGAGGAAAATAGATCACCTAATATGTTTTTTGACTTTTAAAACAAATCACCTAATGATTACAAGGTTATCCCCGAATAAAGTTCAACGTCACAATTTAAGCTAACAATACTAGATATAGACATTAAAAGGCAAAATCAAACTAGAAAATATATTAAAAATCTACAAACCAGATGATGGAATCTAAAGAGAGAAATTAGAAATATTTAGGGATAAAATGTTTAAAGAAGCAACGTAGAGTTTGGAAGGTGGAATGCATTAAAAGAATATTGAAAGAAATCCTCAAAGAGTCAAAAGAAAAAGATCTTATATGTAAAGATACTTGGGGTGGTGAAATAGTGATGATATATAAGCCGCAGTAAAACAAAATGTTTTAAAAAATGAAAGAGGATAAAAATGAAAAAAAAAAATTAAGAGATACAAATTATCTAAAAGGACGTTAAAAGCATAATTAGAGATGCTAAGTTAAAAGCCTACGACAATATTTATACTAGATTAGATAGTAAAGATGGAGAAAAGAATATTTACAAACTTACTAAATTGAGATAAAGAAAAACAAGAGACTTTAATCACAGATTATTTTTTAATATCCCTTTGCTCCAAACTACCAAAGGGATATTTTATTAAGGAAACAAGTTGCTTATTTGCTTCCTGGAACTGTTGAATGAAGAGCACAAACAAATGAAGAGTCATGCATTTCAATTATTAGTAGTTTGTTAGTGATGAAGGCAATCAAGAACTTGTCTAAAAGTTAGATATCGAATCTAGATATAGGTAATCATGTCAACTGAAAGCCTGGTCCTTCAGAAAGTACCTCCACAGCAATGCTGATCGTGGTTTCCTTGTTGACATTCGAGCATTGTTATTTGTGGATAACATGTTGCCTGCATGTTGAGGTGATCCCTCCAATAATCCATCCTCAGTGTTTACATTCCTCAGAAGCATGCCATCTTTACCATCATCTTCTTCCCTCATCGAAACAAGCACCATTCGGAGCATGCACAAGAATGGTTGGTCACTGTCCAGCAACTGATAAAGAGCTGCCATGCCTCCCATTCCAGTACCAGATCCTCCTCCAATACCAAGACCACCACCAAGTCCAGACTCGTCTAACAACAAAGCTTGGAGCATGGAAACTGACTTCTGTATTAGAGGAAGTTCAATCCAGTTTCCATTTGCATCTTTCTCCAAAGCCGAATTCCAAGAATCCCAGCCACTGCCACCACCACCAAAGCCTGTTGTTTTCGAAGGAAGTCCAACTCCATACCACAATCTGCTCCTGTATTTCCAACCCTCAGCTAAATCCGTGGCACAACTTCCATATGACACAAAAGCACAGCAAACAGATTCATAAGGTTCAGTTGCTGCTGCTGCAGTAAGCCGTTCCATCACTGATGTGGAAATTTGCCCATTTGCATCAGCCATTGAAGCAAGAACCTGATTGAATTCAAAATAGGTTTAGATCCAAGAAGAGAGGAACCAAAATCGACAGGAAAAGGACTAAAATAACAAATTGAACTATATGAGATTTTACCCTTTAAAAAATACAACATAACACTAATTGCTAAAATTTAAAGGAAGATAAATTAATAGGCAAAAATCTACATTGTTTTTCTTTTATAATTTTATCCTCCAAGTTATTTCGCTCAAACTTACAATATGTTTTATGTGTGTCTAAGCAATGGACATATGTGTTTCCCAAGTGTCCGAAATGTGTCTAAATATAAAAAATAAAAAATAAAATAACATGACACATTTGGACGTGTCTGGCGCATGTTGAGAAGTGCTGATGGGTGTCGGACACGGACAAGGACACGACAAGAACATGCACCTTCTCGGAAGTATCCATGCTTCTTAGGTTTCTAGTTGGTTAATATGGAGGTTTAGAAGTCACTGTCTTTATTTGTAATAGAGTCATAGTGCTAAATGGAATAGCAGTTATATTTCCTGCCATTGCCTCTATCTACAGTGATGGCATAGTTTAGAATAAACTAGTGGATGTGCAATGCTCAAAGTAATCAAAACCACGTTCACAATCCAATTGAAGACAATCCTAGAGATAAAGAACAAAATACGCAGGAGACAGATGAAAAATGAACACAGAAAAACAGTAAAGACACCAAAGATTATCTATGTAGCCAAATAAAGCTTTTGTGTGCACACATAAAGATAATTGCATACATACATCAAGAGAAAGCCCTGCAGAGTCACTAGCCGATGATTTTCTATCACCTGTCACTTCCAAAGATTGTCTACCAGTTGAAACAAATGAACGAGGCGAAGCAGAACCGGCCGGAAGACGTGAGGTACTATAAAGTTTACTTTGTAACCGTAAATGATCTTCAACAAGCATTAAAATCACAATTGCATTCTCTACCAAAGCCACAGAGAGTTGGGCAGCATTCTCTGCTCCTGCCTTAGCATCTTTAGGTGGCAACCCCTCAGCCGCAACACCAGCAGCAGCTGCAGCAATAATTTGAGTCTGCCACAAAATAAATAAATAAATAAAGAAAGAAAGAAAGAAAAGTTGTTTGTAGACTTCAAAATAATTTTTAAGATTTAAATCCTTTCTCTTTTTTTCCTTTTGTTTTTTTCCTTTAATGAAATAGCTTTTCATTTTTATTCCAGCAGAAACAACAAAGAATACCAGTCATGATCACTATTTCTGAGGGTATTATAAAGAAAAGTTGCAAACAACCAAAAAAATAAAATTCTGAAAGCACAAAACAGACAGTTGTCTCAAGAGTTAAAGCCCTTGTCATTGCCTTTGGAGGAAGATGTAGTTTTATTTTGATGAATCTAATATGTTTGTTATTTCTTTATTGTCTTTTTCTTTTTTATTTGTTTTTCTTCTGTTTCTCTCTTTCCAACCCCCTTTTCTACGTCCTTAGATTTGAAGCATTTTTCATGCTTCATTTCTGTGGTACTTCGTCACATATTTTGATAATACATCCACTTAGCTTATTATCCATGCGGGGCAATAAAAAAGAACTGTTACATTGTTTCCAAGATCTAAACTAAAACTGAAGTTCTGAATTGACTACCTGAACCTGGAGTTCTCTGGCAGCAAAGTCCAGCAAGTCACCTAACAACCTTCTTTTGAAAATAGGCAATGATTCCTCACGTCTTCAAAACATAAAGAAGACAACAATCCAAGTACATTAAACTCAATAATTGAATTGTCGAGACATTAATGATTGAAGAAAAAATTTAGCGTTTGCTAGTGACATAAAGTAGTACCTGACCCGTTGGTCTCCCGTGCTAGATCCACCCACCATAGAAAGCCATTCTGCACAATGAATGGTAGCTTCAATATCCTGTCAAAGGGAAGTAATGACCAAACAATATAAATGAAACTGATTGAAACTAGAATTTAAGAAAAATAGAGCACCTACATGGCACCAAATGAACACAATTTAACAAGAAGGAAGTATCTTGAGGTACACAAAAAAGAATAGTAAAATTAACAACCGCATATTCTCCTAAAAGCTTGCTGCTACATTATTGGCTAATTAGCCAAACAAATGAGTGTAGAAATGAAAAAGAATTAGCCAAACAAATGAGAGTAGAAATGAAAAGGATACAAAAAATTATCTAGTGTGCGCAGGGCATATAGAAGAATCCAGAGTGATGTCCCATTGAGCACCACTTAGTACAATTTACTTTACCAAAAGGATAGAAATAGATAAATTTATGCCATCATTATCAACATCCTTGGTATAGTTGCATTGCTATAACTTTTACTCATTTCAGTTCAGAGTTGAGCAAAATATTGTTATCTTTAAAAACCTTCCAAAATTAGTGTTGACCAAAAACTATTTCGCAGTCGAGGGTAGGTTTTCATTTTTTTTTTTCCATTCAGCTCCATCAAGGGCTACATGCTTAGTTAAATTAAATAAATTCATATAATTTTCACTACCATGTCCCATGTCAGCTTAGGGCTCCTCCTGGCATCTCCATTTATAGTGATCCTATCACTCTTCCTTACCGTTGCATTTATAGGTCGTCGTTGTACATGACCAAGCCGTCTTAACCTGTTCTCTCTCTCGACTTATCTTCAATAGGTGCTACTCCTACCATTTCAGGAATATATTCATTTCTAATTCTATCTTTTTTAGTCTTACCGCACATCTATCTAAAAATCCTCATCTCATCTCATCTCATCTCGGATACACTCATTTTACATACATATTTCTTAGTTGCCCAACACTTGGTCCTGTAAAGAAAAAAAAAATTCTCAACTACAGCGTCAATTTCAGCTAGAGGCGTTGAAAGCCTCCATTAAAAATGGAGGCCTGTATCTTGAAAATCCAAAAACATCCACTTTATTTTAGGCTTTTAAAGCCTCTACAGAGAATGAAGACTTCAAAAGGAAAATTAGATTCACCATTGAACACGGAAATTGTGTCATAAAATACTTGTAAAAGGCTTTTTTAAATATTTGAAAGGGTTTTAAAATCCTCCAATCTAAGTGGATGCATAATAACACAAAACTTAAACTTTGAGTGGAAGCTTTAAGGGCTTCTACTAATTTTTTTTATTTTTTATTTTTATTTTTATTTTTTTTAAAAAGAAGAAGAAGAAGAAGAAGAAGAAGAAAATATGCCATTGTTGCTATTCTATTGACTCGGAATTGTGTTTTGATTGATTACAGGTATACAAGACAAAGACGACTAAAGCTACCTTCTTAATATCAAATGCTTAAGCATTTTGAACAGCCGGAAGATGAACAAATCTAGACAAAATGAGCCTTTTATAGTCAAACTAGCCTTGTGCAGTGATACACTAGGGCCCCCCCACTAAGTTTTGGGGAAAAAATTCACTTTTTATACAGTTTCAGAATTAAATTTCAAAATTACTCCAATGAAATTGTAAACTTGCCCCCAATAAACTTCAAGAAATATTAAATTTTACCTATGGTTTTAGAATTAATTTCAATGTGCTCTGTTAAATTTTAATAATATTTTTACCTATGAATTTAGTGCAATCTCAAATAAATAGGAACTTGGAAAATAATTGCAAATCAATAGAGTGCAAGCGAGAACTGGACTAGCACAGTTCTCACTTGCATAAGGCACATGTCTCACTTGCTCTCCATTAATTTGCAATTCTTTTTCCTGTTTCCCATTTATCTGATATTCCCCCATGAATTTATAATTTTTTTTACTTCCCCCTCTGAGATTTTATTTTTGCTCCTTGAAAATTCCCCCACTTATTTTATTTCCCCTCATATTTTTTTTGGATAAACTATTTTATTTCCTCTCATATTGCCCTCTCTCTATGTTGTGTTGCGTATATTGTTGATTTCTTTGGTTGATTTAGAATATTTTGGAAGTGTAATACATCAAATATGAAAAGGAAAAAAAAAAAGTACAAAAAATCATGTATAGTTCCAGATAAGTTTTTTGTCTCCACTGGACAAACGTTCTGGCCCTGGCCCTGGAATTCCCTGTGCTAGTCAAACTACATGAAAGGAAGGGATTAATAGGTTATGTTCCCACTAGCAGATTAGAATAAGAAAGCACTACGATTACATAATGGCCTGCTACGCAACTGTAATGGCTGTCACATATCTGATTTTTATTCCCATCGAAATATCCGTTGTAATGAATGGCAAAGATCTGAGTTGAGATTGAAATTGAAAGAGTTGACTTTTAGGGAGCAAGTTTCTTGGGCATAAAAAGCAAAGATCAAATGGTTGAAGGAAGGGGATGTTAATTCAAAAAAATTTCACAAGGTTCCAGACGGGAAAAGGAAGAAGAAGTTCATCAAGAGATTGGAAGTAAGCCCAAGGATAGTGAAGGAAAAGGAGAATCAGATTGTCAGTGACATTTATGATTTTTATTCTAAGCTTTATTCGAAGGAAGAGGTGAACAGACCGGAGATTGAAGGATTTGAGTGGGCCACCATTGATCCGGCAATTGCAACATGGCTGGAAAGGCCTTTTGATGAAACAGAAATTCGAGAGGCAGTCTTTGATTGTGAGAGAGACAAAGTTCTAGGTCCGGATGGTTTTTCCATGGCTGTCTTTCAGGACTGTTGGGAGGTGGTGAAAGGGGATTTGTTGTGAGTGTTTTTGGAATTTCATGAGTCGGGGGTTGTTAATTTGAGCTCAAATGCCACATTCATCTGTTTAATTCCTAAGAAAGTGAATGCTCTAAGAATTGGCGATTTTAGGCCTATCAGTTTGGTAACGTCACTGTATAAGATTTTGGGAAAGGCTTTATCAAAACGACTAAGGATGTTTTTAGGGGATACTGTGTCTAGGGCGCAAGGGGCTTTTGTGAAAGGAAGACAAATCTTAAATGTTGCCTTAGTGACAAATGAAGTAGTGGAGGAATATAGGAGTTCAGGGAGGGAGAGAGGGACTTATTTTTAAAGTATATTTTGAGAAGGTATATGACCATGTAGATTGGCAGTTTTTGGATTTTGTAATGGACAAGAAGGGATATGGTGGGCGGTAGAGATCTTGGATTAGGGGTTGTTTGTTGACTTGCAATATGTCAGTCATAGTTAATAGTAAATCAGGGGAATGCTTTAGGGCTTCGCGGGGGCTACGACAAAACCCACTATCTCCTTTTTCTTTTTATTTTGGTGGCTGATGTACTGGGAAGGATGGTCGATAGAGCTAAAGAGGCAGGTCTTTTTGCGAGGTTGGAGGTGGGGAGGGCTATAGTTAGTGTGACTCATTTACAATATATGGATGATACCATATTTTTTTCTTCAGGGAATGAAAGTCAAATGGTTCATCTTTATTCGATTTTGAGACTCTTTGGGTTTTATTTCAGGGCTTACGGTTAATTTGGGAAAAAATCAACTTCAGAATAGGGCGTCACTTTTAGGATGTGGTATAGAGTCACTTCCGTTTAATTATTTGGGTCTTCCATTGGGGGGTAATCCTAGGAGTGAAGTTTTTTGGACTCTAGTTGTGGAAAAGATTGGCAAGAGATTGGAAAGGTGGAGTAAGGCTTTATTATTACGTGGGGGGAGAGGAGATATACTTTGGTTAAGACTGTTTTGAGTAGTATTCCCATTTATTATTTATCTTTGTTCAAGGTTCCGATTAAGGTGGCAAGGTCACTAGAAAAGTTGATGAGGGATTTTCTTTGGGAAGGTAAGGATGAGGGGAAAAAGAATCACTTGGTGAATTGGGAGTTAGTGTCGCTACCTAAGGAGAAGGGGGGTTTGGCTATCGGTAATATTGTGGCTAGGAACATGGCCCTTCTTGGCAAGTGGTTATGGAGATTTTCACTTGAGACTGATTCACTATGGCATTCGGTTATAAGAAGCAACTATGGGACTCATGACAATGGTAGGGATTCACAGGTGGTTTTGAGGGGTAACTGTCGTGCTCCTTAGAAGTCAATTTCTCAAATTTTCACATGTTGGTCTTATCATCTTTCTATAAGGGTGGGCAATGGGGAACTTGTTCGATTTTGGGAGGATGTTTGAATGGGTCAATCTTCTTTTGTTACTGATTTCCCACATCTATATAGAGTGGCTCGTTCTCATAATTCTTCAATTGCTTCTATGGCTTGCTCACTTTTGGCTCCAATTTCCTAGAATTTTGATTTTTCAAGGAATCTTAATGATAAAGAGGCTTCACAGTTGACTGGACAGAATTGATCATTTTTCTTTATCTCCTCTTTTGGAGTTCGTCCGGGATATTTTCTTGTAAGTCTTTTTTTGATTACATCATTGATAATCCTCATGTTCCTTAGTTTCCTTTTCGCAAAAAAATATGGAAGGCTTGTACTCCCCTAAAGGTAAAGGTGTTCATGTGAGACTTGGTTCATGGAGGCATTTTGACAAATGATACATTGCAGAAAAAGAGACCTAATCGTTTTCTAAATCTTCAGTGGTGCATTCTGTGTTGTAAGAATGGGGAATCCGTGGATCATTTATTCTTGCATTGTCCAATAGCTTTGAATTTATGACATAGATTGTTTTCTTTGGGAAATGTTATTTGGATAGCCCCAAAAGGTAGTGTGCATATGCTCCTAGTTGATTTTTGCACATTCGGAGGATCGAAGAAAGCCAAAATGCTATGGTCTTGTGCCGTCTTCGCAACTTTTTGGGTTCTATGGATGGAGAGAAATGCGAGGTTGTTTGAAAATAGGTTCCGAGAGGTGGGCTTTTTGTGGGATAATCTTTGTCACTTAACTTCTTTCTGGGTGTCGGGGAACTCTTTATTTAAAGGGGTCCTACTTTTTTTGTTAGCTAGAGATTGGTTGATGGGGTGTGATATGTAGAATTTTGCCCCTGTTTAGCTTGTTATGGGTATTCAGTTTTTGTATTTTTTGAATTCTCGTTGTCC